CCCCCCCCCCCAGCTGCAGCATGACATTGCTCATTTTCAGCACTTGGATGTATGAAAGCTGTATTCATAATGCATGCATGGAGGTGAGTATGCATGTTCTCCCTGTGCTTGTGTGGGTTTCCTCCCGGTACTCCGGTTTCCTCCCACACTCCAAAGACATGCTGGAAGGTTATTTGGCTCTTATCTATGTGTACAATAGGGACCTTAGATTGTAAGCTCCTTGAGGGCAGGGACTGATGTGAATGTGCACTATGTAAAGCGCTGCATACATTGCCAGCTCTATATAAATACCTGTAATAATAAAAAAATAGACCTCTTTGTGGCCTCCTGTGAAGGGATGCAGTGCTAAGTAATGTTCCTGTTTGTCTATATCAACAGAGCTTTAAGAAATGGAACTTAATTATTTAACCGCTCTGTTCCTTTACACCACAGATGTCAGACTCGTGATGGGATTTTCTGCACTTCCCTATAATGAGGCAGCCTGAGGTGGTTGCCTCAGTTTGCATCTCATTGGGTCACGTGGTAGCCCCTTTCTGGCCAGAGCATCCCAGGTTTCCAAGAGCTCTTAGCAACCTGTAACGCTCTGGCCAGCATCCTATCAAGCTCACCGAGACCCCATTCACACTGAACGATTTTGTATCGCGATTTCCGCTGAAAAACCGTTCAAATATCACTCATTGTAGCTTGTCCAATGCATTTCAATGGAGCTGTTCACATCTCACAGCTCAATGTTGCCTGTAGCTTGTCACTCGAACATGACCTATTTTTCCAGGGGATTTTGTGCAATTTGGCCCCAATAGGCCTTGATAAACTGCCAAATGTAGCGCTACATAGTGCGACAAAATGTGCAGTGTAGCTCAATGTCGCTCAGCTCAAATCAGCGCTGCTGTTTTTGATGTAGCTCAGTGTGAATGGGGTCTGAGGCTACTGCCTGCCAGGAGCTGTGCGGGATGCTCTAGCTGTTGTCCTGTCTAGGTCCTGGCAATCAGTGACACCAGTGAGCTGTGCGGGATGCTCTAGCTGTTGTCCTGTCTAGGTCCTGGCATTCAGTGACACCAGTGAGCTGTGC